GTGTGTGTGTGTGTGTGTGTGTGTCAGTCAATCAATCAATCAATCAATCAACCAATCAATTAATTAATCAAAACCAACCAACCAATCAATCAATCAATCAATCAACCAAAGTAAAGTTGATTGATTGATTGATTGATTGATCGATTCCAATCAATCAGTCAGTCAATCAATCAATCAATCAATCAATTAATCAATCAATCAATCAATCAAAATCAACCACATCTTCAGGTGGCCGTCGAGGGGGGGGTTGTGGTGACCTGTGGACGTCGCCGGGCTGCTGGTCGGGGGGTCGTGCTGTTGGCCAGGCCTCCCAACGGTTGGAATTTCGGATTAGGTAGCCGTGCTCACGATGAGCCGCTCCCTGCAGGAATGTGCTGTCCTTGTCGCCTTCCATATTGTCGTGTGTCAGCACTTGCGGCAGATGCGACAACGCAAGTGTGTGTGTTGTCTTGACTCCGCTGTCGTTCATGGCTGACGCGTACTGCAGGCTGCCGCTACTGCTACTCGATGTGCTGCTCTTGGTTGTTGTCGTCTTCCACATTTGTTTCCTTGGGCGCGTTCCTGGATGGAAACTGACCAGGTGAGCATCACGGAAGGCCAGGAAGATGGACAACCGTCTGACGAACATCACGCCTTGACCAGGGTCGGGGGGGTCTTCACGCCAACGATTCAAGGTAGCAGGCGGCCATACGACCTGACGATGTACAGCCACCTGCCGTTGCACGAGATCCCACTACCTCCAAGTAACAACGAGGGTGGGGAGCATCGACCTTCAACGGTTCCTCTGGAAAGCGGTTCCACGCAGGATTGGATGGGGAGCCAGTTCTTTACAAGGCCGACAACACCCATGCACACAAAGCTGTTGGAAGGATGGGCCCCAATTGGCTATGACGCCGGGCCCGTGGATCTCAGCTTCGGTCTGAGGGCCGGCAATCTATGTATCCCCCACAGCCGTCCAATAGTTGCGGTGGCCACGTTTGTGGCCGAGGCCGCGGATGGTGGGCCCAATTCCGCGGCCGTGAATTTCACATATTTTTCCTGGGCGAAATAATACATAAAAAAAAAAAACAGGGGTTGTAGGGTTTTTTGAACCCCAAAACCCCTTTTTTTTTTCTTTCCAAAATTGCATATTKTTTGGTGTAAAAAAAATAAAAAAAATCGAATTTTTTTTTTTTTTTTTTTTTTTTAATAAAAACACCCGCTAGTGTTAGTGGTGCTGGTAAGAGCAGACAGCACTAGCGCCTGGGAGGGCTCCATCTATTGGTGGGTAGCATCACCTGCTCGAAAACAGGTCCAGCGTCCCTTATACAGATTGAGTTTGAGCTGTGGGGGGAAAGAATCAGAGATGCTCGAGGGGGGTTCCTGCCAGCATTGATTACCCTGGGGCCCAGGGGATTGACTGAGCAGGATAGAGGAAGGAGAGGGGATCCCTTCACCTTGAACGTAGTGCCAGATTTCTGCTGCTACCTGCTAATTCCTCCCTCCCCCTACCAACCCCAGTCCCCTACCGTTCATCCCTCCCTTTACTAAGCATTGCTTATTCTAATCCCTGGAGTTTTAAGTCCATAGTGAGGAAAAGCGTTCTCCTATCAACATTCTTGCCCCAAGATCCGGGGATTTCCAAGCGTTGTTGCCGACTTTGCTGTCTCACCAAGTTGGCCTGTTGCTCTTAGGCTGCTCTTTAACCAACTCTTAAGTTGCACCATACCACTGTAGGTCCACCATGGAGAGTCTACTTTGCTGTCTCACCAAGTTGACCTGTTGCTCTTAGGCTGCTCTTTAACCAACTCTTAAGCTGCACCATATCACTGTAGATCCACCATGGAGAGCCCATGAGGGGGAAAGGGGTCAGGGAAGTCCATCAGAGGTCTTAGAGGAACTGCAGCGTCTACCTTAGTCCAATCGTTAAAGCAGATAACATAGTCTCTTTTGAGTTCCTCATGACCCAAAACCGGTGCCTGACCTCCTTCCCATCGAACGTAGGCTATCTTGCCCCCTCTATCACTCCCCAACCATTCCTCTGAGAATTGCTTGATGACCCGTGTTATGTCCTTTGATGTTAGCTATTGATTTGCAAAAAGATCAACTATTTTCTTTGGATGATATTGTCCCGTACAAAATGGGGGGCAGAATCTATCAGATTCACACTGCTCACAAATTTCGGCCGTGGTGTTTCAAATGCAGAGCATATGGACACCTCAACACGGAATTTGCTTGCCCATTACACCCCCAACATGCACACCCCCTAGACCAGAAGCTGAGAAAGGATCCACAGAGACCTCATAGGTGGGTCCCAACAGCAGCAGGTTTTGAGGGGTGGGTGTACAGTGATGAGGTAACACAAGTTGGGTCACAAATTGGATGGTACTGGGAAGGTAGAGGTGATCACCGCAAGGTTCCCCGCCCACCTCCGGAATGGATGCCCCCCCAACAGCAAAATATCCAGAATCAACAGAATCACCAATCAAATCAATAGAATCATTATCAACCTAGAGACCCTCCAGGCAAATCTACTGGTCTGTCTGAATAGTTGAAGGGTACACAGGGGGCACAAGGTTCTCAGAGTGGGACACAGAAGACACAGGGGTCACAAGGAAAACAAGGAATAAGTTCATCCCATCAAGCCAGGGGGGCGCAACAAGGAGCTCAGAAAGGGAATGAGCGCAGATCCCTGGGGCCGTCAGCGTAGAATTTCCCAAAATAACCAGACCTTGGGCTCAGAGTGACAAGTTGTGAAATCCAAAAAAAAGCCCTCTCCACAGGCTCACGCACAGGCACCAAGCACTTCTGCACTCACTGGAGCATCCACACAATCGAGCCTGAAGGAACAACCGTTGCAAATGGAACACGAACCACGAGCCTCTAAATCACCAAGCCACATGGC